GGGGGTGGGAATTACGAATCCTGAATTTTTCCGGGATTTTTCCCAAATTTTTTTCCCGCTTTTCCCATCTGAGCCTCGGGGCGGGGCTGAAAAATTCCCAAAAAAAAAAATCCAACCCCTCCCCAAATCCCAAAATTTTGGGAATTTTCATCCTCAAATCCCAAAGATCCCAAAGATTTTTTTTATGGATTTGGGAAACTGGGAATTTTTCCCGGGATTTTGGGCTCCTTTTCCCGCTTTTCCAGAGGGAAATTCCTCATTCCCAAACTTTGAAAAGGTTTGGAATCTCTGGGAATTCCCAAAATTCCCGCAAAAAATTCCCAAAATTCCCGAAGTTTTTTCCTTGGGATTCTCCACTCCTGGAATTTTTGGGAATTTCCATCCCAGGATTTTCGGGAATTCCCAAAGTTTTTTCCTTGGGATTCCCCCACTCCTGGAATTTTTGGGAATTTCCATCCCAGGATTTTTGGGAATTCCCAAAATTCCCGTTTTTTCCTTGGGATTCTCCCACTCCTGGAATTTTTGGGAATTTCCATCCCGGGATTTTTGGGAATTCCCAAAATTCCCGCAAAAATTCCCAAAATTCCCAAAGTTTTTTTCCTTGGAATTCTCCACTCCTGGAATTTTTGGGAATTTCCATCCCAGGATTTTTGGGAATTCCCGAAGTTTTTTCCTTGGGATTCTCCCACTCCTGGAATTTTTGGGAATTTCCATCCCAGGATTTTTGGGAATTCCCAAAATTCCCGCAAAAATTCCCAAAATTCCCAAAGTTTTTTCCTTGGGATTCTTCACTCCTGGAATTTTTGGGAATTTCCATCCTAGGATTTTTGGGAATTCCCAAAATTCCCGCAAAAAATTCCCAAAATTCCCGAATTTTTTTTCCTTGGGATTCCCCCACTCCTGGAATTTTTAGGAATTTCCATCCCAGGATTTTTGGGAATTCCCAAAATTCCCGAAGTTTTTTCCTTGGGATTCTCCACTCCTGGAATTTTTGGGAATTTCCATCCCAGGATTTTTGGGAATTCCCAAAATTCCCGCAAAAATTCCCAAAATTCCCAGTTTTTTTTCCTTGGGATTCTCCACTCCTGGAATTTTTAGGAATTTCCATCCCAGGATTTTTTCCTTGGGATTCTCCACTCCTGGAATTTTTAGGAATTTCCATCCCAGGATTTTTGGGAATTCCCAAAATTCCCCATTCCCGGTGAATTCCCAAAAAAAATCCCTCTGAGGTCAGGCTGGAAAAATTCCTCGGGATGAGAATTTTTGGGAATTTTTGGGATTTTTTTGGGAATTTTGGGGAATTTTTGGGAATTTTGGGAATTTTCCGCTTCAGCAGGAGCTGAGCATGAGACGTCCCACGGAATTCCCGGAATTTCCCAGCCTGGAAAACTCCCCCGGATCCCTGGAAAATTCCGGAGGGGACCCCAAATCCTCCTGGAATCCAGAGGTGAGTCCTGGAATTCTTGGAAAATTCCCAAAAAAATAAAAAAAAAATTTGGGATCTGGCGTCGGATTTTTCCTTCCCTCCACAATTCCTGATCCCGGTGGAAAAAAGCTGCATTTGTCCTGGATTTATCCCGGATTTATCCTGGATTTATCCTGGATTTATCCTGGATTTATCCCGGATTTATCCCGGATTTATCCTGGATTTATCCTGGATTTATCCCGGATTTATCCCGGATTTTTCCTGAATTTATCCCTAATTTTTACACATTTTTTCCTGGATTTTTCCTGGATTTATCCCGGATTTATCCTGGATTTATCCTGGATTTATCCCGGATTTTTCCTGGATTTATCCCGGATTTATCCTGGATTTATCCCAGATTTATCCTGGATTTATCCCGGATTTATCCCGGATTTATCCCGGATTTTTCCTGGATTTATCCCAGATTTATCCCAGATTTTTCCTGAATTTATCCCTAATTTTTACACATTTTTTCCTGGATTTTTCCTGGATTTATCCCGGATTTTTCCTGGATTTATCCCGGATTTATCCTGGATTTATCCTGGATTTATCCCGGATTTATCCCAGATTTATCCCGGATTTATCCTGGATTTATCCCGGATTTATCCCGGATTTATCCTGGATTTATCCCGGATTTATCCCGGATTTATCCCGGATTTATCCCGGATTTATCCTGGATTTATCCTGGATTTATCCCGGATTTATCCCGGATTTATCCCGGATTTTTACTCATTTTTTCCTGGATTTATCCCGGATTTATCATGGATTTATCCCAAATTTTTACCCATTTTTTCCAGGATTTTTCCTGGATTTATCCTGGATTTATCCCGGATTTTTACTCATTTTTTCCTGGATTTATCCCGGATTTTTCCTGGATTTATCCTGGATTTATCCTGGATTTTTCCTGGATTTTTATCAGATTTATCCCAGATTTTTTTTGGATTTTTCATGGATTTCTCCTGAATTTTTACCCATTTTTTCCTGGATTTATTCTGGATTTATCCCAAATTTTTACCCATTTTTCCCCTGGATTTATCCTGGATTTATCCCTATTTTTTTCCCATTTTTTCCTGGATTTTTCCTGGATTTTTATCAGATTTATCCCAGATTTTTTTTGGATTTTTCATGGATTTCTCCTGAATTTTTACCCATTTTTTCTTGGATTTATCCCGGATTTAACCTGGATTTATCCCGAATTTTTTCCCATTTTTTCTTGGATTTATCCTGGATTTTTCCTGGATTTATCCCGGATTTTTTCCTGGATTTATCCCAAATTTTCCCTGGATTTTTCCTGGATTTATCCTGGAATTTTCCTGGATTTATTCCTAATTTTTTCCCATTTTTTCCTGGATTTATCCCAGATTTTTACTGTATTTTTACCACAATTATCCCGGATTTTTTCCTGGATTTTTTCCTGGATTTATCCCAAATTTCCCCTGGATTTTTTTACCAGATTTTTCCTGGATTTATTTTTTTATATTATTTTATTTTATTTTATTTTATTTTATATTTTATTTTATTTTATTTTATTTTATTTTATTTTATTTTATTTTATTTTAATTTTCTATTCTTTTCTTTTCTTTTCTTTTTTTATTTTATTTTATTTTATTTTATTTTATTTTAATTTTCTATTCTTTTATTTTATTTTATTTTATTTTATTTTATTTTATTTTATTTTATTTTATTTTAATTTATTTTATTTTAATTTTATTTTTATTTTATTTTATTTTTATTTTATTTTTATTTTATTTTATTTTTATTTTATTTTATTTTATTTTATTTTATTTTATTTTAATTTTAATTTTATTTTACTTTATTTTATTTTAATTTTATTTTATTTTTATTTTATTTTAATATTATTTTATTTTATTTTATTTTTATTTTCATTTTTTTATCCCCCAAAATTCCCAAATCCCGGTTTTTATTCCCGTTTTTCCCCAGGAGGCCGGGCCGGGGCTGAGGCTGCGCCTGCCCAGGGACCCCCCCGGGGATCGGCCCAAGCAGAAGGTGAAGAAAATCCGGGAATTCTGGGGGAAAATCCGGGAATTCTGGGGGAAAATCCGGGAATTCTGGGGAAAATCCGGGAATTCTGGGGAAAATCTGGGAATTCTGGGGGAAAATCTGGGAATTCTGGGGGAAATCTGGGAATTCTGGGGAAAATCCGGGAATTCTGGGGGAAAATCTGGGAATTCTGGGGAAAATCTGGGAATTCTGGGGGAAAATCTGGGAATTCTGGGGGAAATTCGGGAATTCTGGGGGAAATCCGGGAATTCTGGGGGAAATCTGGGAATTCTGGGGGAAAATCCGGGAATTCTGGGGGAAATCCGGGAATTCTGGGGAAAATCTGGGAATTCTGGGGGAAAATCCGGGAATTCTGGGGGAAAACTGGGAATTCTGGGGGAAATCTGGGAATTTTGGGGCTAAATAGGGAATTCTGGGGGAAATCTGGGAATTCTGGGGGAAAATCTGGGAATTCTGGGGGAAATCTGGGAATTCTGGGGAAAAATCCGGGAATTCTGGGGAAAATCCGGGAATTCTGGGGGAAAATCTGGGAATTCTGGGGGAAATCTGGGAATTCTGGGGGAAATCTGGGAATTCTGGGGAAAATCTGGGAATTCTGGGGAAAATTGGGAATTTGGGGGTGAAATTTGGGAGATTTTTGGGGGGAAAATGGGAATTTTGGGGCTAAATTGGGAATTTGGGGAGGAAATTTGGGAATTCCGGGACAGGGAATGGGATCAACTGGGGATTTTCCCGGGAAAATCGGGGAATTTTGGGATAATTCCCGGCCAGCCATGGGGTTTAGGGTGGAAAATTGGGATTTTGGGGTTTTTTTGGGAATTTTTTCCCTGGAATTGCGGTTTTTGATTCCCAAGCCGGTGGGAAGAGCCTTTGCCATGGTGGCCAAAAGATCCGACGGGA